GGTTCGTTATCTATTCAAAATAGGATTATACGAAATAGACGTGAGTGAGTGGCTAAAGTGACTCGTTTATGTGACACAGAACAAGGATGAGAAAAAAAGATGGCGTCGACGATAGAAAAGAAACAAAAAGGAAGAGAAAGTAGTATAAGTGACACTGGTCGACGTTCTTGTGGGGTATTCTTGTTTCTTGACATTTCAGACAAGTATCTTGTAAAATATTTTACATGTATTTTTATCACAAGAACCTTGCAGGAAATCGTATTCTTGTGAGTTCATACAAAAGTTGCGAGACGGATTCTTGTCTGAACTCACAAGAAAGCGATTTCCTGCAGGGTTCTTGTGATAAAAATACATGTAAAATATTTTACAAGATACTTGTCTGAAATGCCAAGAAACAAGAATCTTGCAAGAATACCCACAAGAACGTCAACTTGACATGGCCGGGACCGTCCCGGTCCTGACGGGACTGGGATCGGAACCGGGACCAAAATGTTATTTACGGGGACCGCGACGGACTCACAAACTATTTTTTCGGGGCCAAATCGAGACTCACGCTACAAATAAGATTATTTTTGACGGTTGTGTAAAATCAGCTATAACGTCAGCTATTCTTCATAGTCAAATAGAAATGTTGTGGAAAATCGTCACGGAGTCTTAGAGTGCTTTTCTACGCGTTGAGCTTTCCATCGACATCAGGCAAACTTTATTAAAAACACCCGAATCTCGATTCGAGATTCCAAAAAGCATCTAGCTTCATAGAAAAAGCAGTTTGTATGTCATCAAATAGATTGTCATTCAGCCGACTGTTCATATCACGGTTATCTTGCTTATATAATCAGAAGAAGAAACATACGGTATACCTCATCCATTAACGGATAGCTGTTGATCAGAAAACTTTTGAACTTTCCGGCATCAATACAGTGTTATTTCCCTGTTAGCAGAATTGCTTTAAGGACCAGAACCATAAAAACCTTGTGGGACCAGAACAGAGACCGAAATAACTTTCTGGGACTGGATCCGAAACCCGGATCGAAAAAACTTTACGCGACTGGGAACGAGACTGGATTGAAAATCCTTGGTCCCGCCCATATCTGACGTCGACCAGTGTCACTTATACTACTTTCTCTTCCTTTTTGTTTCTTTTCTATCGTCGACGCCATCTTTTTTTCTCATCCTTGTTCTGTGTCCCATAAAGGAGTCACTTTAGCCACTCACTTATGTCTATTTCGTATAACCCTAATATAATCGTCAGCTGCTCAATCACTTTTTTTGCATGCATTCATGTTTTGAAGTTTTCTTTATAATAATATTAATCTAATAATTAGGTTCGCTAGTGTGTCAACCACACTGAGCCTTACTCATTTGAATCATTAAAGATTAAACTAAATATAATCGATAAACTTTTTGTTTGCAGGCAGCAATAGTGCGTATCATGAAAATAAAGCAAACATTAAATCATCAAAGCCTTATTGCTGAAGTAATGGAACACTTATCGCTTCAATTTAAGCCACAGCCTCCAACTATTAAAGTAAGTAAAGTTGCTCCAAACGCGAAGAGAAGCCAAAATTCTTTTGATCTTCTGTGACAAATCAGCATTGTACTAGTTACTTCGGCTTCTAAAGCGAGATTATACGAAAACATTTTTTCCACCTCGTTATGACAAATCGGATTGCAGTCAAGGTTATTCTTAAACTCAGTATGTGATCCTTTATAAACACTATAAGTTAGTTTATTAGGTTTTCGGTCCGATACCAAATTTTTTGGCTCAAAATAAGTCAATAATAGTTTCTGAAACGAATTGTAGTCTTAATTTATCGTTTGATTAATTTAGAAATGTGTTGATATATTAATTGAAAAAGAATACCTTGGACGTGTACCAAACGAAAAAGGTGTTTATAGTTATTTGCCGTAAAGTCAAACTAAAATGATTGCTATTTGCTATTGTTTTATGTGTGTGTTGTCTTTTTATTATTTAACACTTCGAACAAGAATATTTTGTGCGATAACTATATGGTTATTGTTTTGAGTTTATGAAACAGTTAAGTTATTTTCCTTTTCCTTTTATCTGTAAAACTAGCATTCATATGCATGATGTTTGATGTAAATTAAAAATGTTATTTCATAAAATATACTTTCGTACTCTTCTATGCATTATCCAAGATATTTGACGAGCTAATGTCGAACCTTTAATTTTTATTAATTAAACTCCTGCTGAGCAAAGACAGTATATTGATCAAAACTAATTATACCTCGTCATCAAAAACTTGATTTTTCTTTAGATGTCATCGAAAAACAGAATTTTCCGACAATGTTTAATTAAATATTAAAATAGAAACAGAATAAATAATATAATTAAATAATAAAATAGAAACAGAAGATCAGCTGAAGATTTTCATTTGCAGGGTTTTTTAGACTGTCAGGATAAAATTATGCACAAATGATAATTCTATAAAAGATATAAGGAATTATTTATTCGCTTCGAAAATAGCTATTTAAACTTAGTCTGACAAGATCTTTCATATAGCACACTTAGATTTCAAAAATACTTTGTCTGAAAATTCTGGTTTTCAATGATGAATCGTTTTCAGTTTTGATCAGCATGTCTTAGATATACGAGCATAAGCAACCAGATATTCACGACGTGTTAATTGTTGACGAATATCATTTGTACGAGCAGAACCAACGAGTTTTGGATGTATATAAGTACCCAACAACGGATCTAACCACATGCCCCCATCTTGATATCGTAAAAGATTTGTCCAAAAAACGATTCAAAATAACGGCAACAGCGTTTTGAAGACTCCATGTTGCCTTGGGGGCGCTATATGGATTAATTGGTTTTGTTTGTAGATCAAAGGTTGATGGAGCTAATATTGTCAATACATTTTCGTCTTGATCTTAATCATTTTCAGGTGATCCGATATATTGGGTTTCATCCTCTGTTCGAGGAAAAACCCCGGTCAAACCGATCTTTAAATTCTCCTTGTACATTACTTGGTGGTGATAAATGAGAATAATCAAATAATCGATATTTCATGAATGTTGATAACTCTTTCTTTAATGGACCCCAACTATACAATTTATTACCAGTTGTAAAGATTATTCCACATAGCTGTTGTATTTTATCAAATGATATTGTCGATTACGATGGTAAATATGCCATTTCAATTAACATAACTGTTGATTGTTGATCAGAGATAACTGCCTCGATTTGTAGTAAAGTAGGAAATTGTTTGTCTGATTCAGTATCAATTGAGTAGACGTGTGTTGTTGATGCCATCTGTTTAAGTTGGTTTAATAATTCCATTATTGTGCAGTCATCAATAAAATATAATTCATATTGAGATTTTGGAACATCAAATGCATCATATTATTGACGTAATTGTTCATTTCTGGATGCTTTTCTTGTTGCTGTTTTATAATGATTGCGTTGATCGGAGGTCAATGCTAAATTTGATGATAAATAAATTATAATCAGAATGGGTTTAAGCCTTAGAGAAGGTTAAAAGTCCCAGTAATACTTGTTCATAAATGTAAGGAGGAGATACTCGTCTTTCTTGCACTGGTATTCGTTGAAGTCATTTAACATTAACACGTGTAATTTAATAACAAACTACGTGTCGACCCATAATTAGTTAAGAAATACCCAGGACTACGATCTAACTATAATCTGTCAGACCGACAGAATTACAATCAGAATTAGAATCGTGAATGCATAATAAGTAAACGGACCAAATTCCGGACGAATAGGAGAGAGTCGCAAGAGACGATGTTATAATTGATATATTTATTGATTGAGGATAATGGGTCTCATGTCGTTAACATGAACCCGGGATTCTTCATTTGTTTCTTGATCTTTCACGAAATATGTTGGATGATGAACTTCATAAACAATTTTTGGAGTTGGATGATACTTTTCACTGAGTTTTGGTCTAAGACCATGAATTTTTATGAGAACTGAGTCTCCCACTACATAGTGTGGATCAAGAAGATTTTTATCATATCATTGTTTTGATGATTGCTGTTGTTTTAAAATATTTGCTCGTGCATTTTGATAGTAAATCTTCAAATTTCTTTTTAACTGTTCAAAATAATCATTGGGTTTGTTAAAAACCAGATATTGCGATGGAGAATCTGTTGATAGCCGAGGTTGTCTTCCAAATTGTAATTCATATGGTGAATAGTTGGTGGTTGAATGCTGGCCAGTATTGTAGGCGAACACCACAGCTTGGAGGTATTCGTCCCAATTGTTATACTCTTTTTGTTGAAGCTTTGCTAACTGTGGAACGAAAGTTGCGTTAAATCTTTCTACCATACTATTCGTTTGCGGATGATATGTGGTAGAATAGATGTGGTTATAGCCAATTAAATATGATAAAGCTTCTATCAAATGATTTTGAAAATGAGGACCACGGTCAGATAACATAGTAATGGGGACACCATAATGACAGATATATTCTTTAAATAATGCTTTTGCTGTTGATTGTGCTGTACTATCGGGAAGTGCAATGGCTGTTACTCATTTGGTGAAATAATCCGTTATGCAAAACACGTAAAGATTTTCACTGGGAGTGCGTGAAAACGGGTCAGTAAAGTCGATACCAATCATTTCAAAAGGACCACGAGATGGCTCGACAGAATGTAATTTTCCTGGTTTCTTTTGACGATTGTGATTATTTTGTTGTCATGGAAGACATGCGCTGATATATTGAGTGATTACATATTTCATGTTCGGCCACCAATATTGATGTTTGAATTTCTTCCATTGTCTTTTCTTGAGATAATGCGATACAAAATATCATCTTCATATAAATAATTTTGATATTTGGGATTCTGTTCTAATTGTTTAATTTTTGGTTGAATTGCAGGGTCTTAATCTTGTTCTTCTTTTAAGTGTGTAATATCGAAATGATTTGATGAATACTTGGAACATTTTGATCTTGATTTTTAGATGAATCTTGATCTTCATGTGGATCTAAATCAACTGTTTGTTGCAGATCTGAAGATGTTGGTGCTGGAGCTGATTGTTGCTGGAAAGGTCTGGTTTTTGATCGAGTTGTAATGCTAACTAATGGTTTTGACTGAATTCCGTAATCCTGATCGAAAAACTCATCTTCATCATGTGTAATTGGATGACGTGACAAACAGGTAAACAGTTGTGATGACCTTTGATATGAATCACTTGTTCAATGTTAAATTCTTGCAACAGGATCGATAAACGATCAACTCGTTTATTTTTAACAGTTTTTGTGATCATCTTGCATATTGGACAATGATTCCGATTAGTCGTCTAAAAATCTTTCCTCCGTTCTCTTCTGTTCCAGGTTGATGAGATGTCTCTCCTGAGATCATATGCACATCCCAATTGATCTAGTGGTTAGGATATTCTGCCCTTTCACGGCAACAGCCGGGGTTCGATTTCCCGATTTGGAAGTTTGCTTTTTGAATGGCATTTCTTAATAAATTCTTTATCAAATAATTTTTCGAGATCTTCTTTCCTATTAAAATTTGTATTGGGATCTGATATTTTGACATCAAAATCATGAACATATTGAAGATGTTCGTCTGAATCCAATATTAAATTATCAAATTCATCCATAATCAACACAGCATTAGTTATTTCCGGTAACTTAATTGATGATTCACGATTTTTCAAGGTATTATATCCTTCATTTCTTAAGGGCCCCCTCTCTAAAAACTTTTTTCCCAGAGCACTCAATCTTACTGAAATTTTTATTGAATATGTATCTGACCATTGATAGTTCTCAGTAAAAATTTGAGCTCATAATATTGAGTTTTTCGCGAGTTATTGTAACATCAAGGGTCAAAAAGTAGGTGT